TAGCCGCCGCCTCTGGGCTCCAGGACCATGGCCCCAGCCAGGCTTCCCGCCCCCTGCCATGCCCTCCTTCCAGCTCGAAGACCCCAGCACAGCCCCCTCCTCCTGGCTCCGAAACCCCCAGTCCCTCTGGGAGCTCTGAGACCCCCCCCAGCCCGGCCGTCTCCTCCAGGTCCCGGTAACCCGATCTCAGCCTTGCTCTTCAGCCCAGGGCGGCGGCGCCCCCTCCGCATCACCGAACTGCCCCTTAAACACTGGTGTAGCCCCGACCCCGCCATGAGATCCCTCTGTTCTTCCTAGCGTGGTTTCTGTTTTCCTAAGTGGCCCCCGAGTGCTAGAACCTGCTGGTGTCAGGAAGCATTAAAGAGGTGAAATCCTGTCCGGGCCCCGCCGGGGTGTAGTTCTGAGTCTCTGGGACCTCAAAGCCTGCTATGCTCTTGGCCTCCCAGCCTGCCTTGTCCCCACGTGCCTTTTCCCAGCCTGCCTTGCCCCCACGTGCCTTCTCCAGGCCTGCCTTGGGCTTGGGGTGGGCTTCCTGCCGGGAAAGGTGCCCCTGGCTGGCTCAGTCTGGCCCTGAGGGCAAGGTCCCCTTCCCTCTCTTGCACCCAAGTCACCTGTGGCTTATACATCCCATACAAAGAGGCTAAGAGGTCGGTGGGGTTGTAGGGCCAAGATGGCCAGAGACTGTCTTCCTGGGCCAGAACTGGGTGTCTCCCACCCCACCCCAAACCCAACTGAAAACCCAACCGCAGAGACTGAAGAAGGGCTGCCCGGGTGGACGGCCCAGGGGTCTCATGCCTGTGTGCTGGGGAAGGTTGGCGTGGGAGATCCGTGGGGTTCTTTGCGCACCTGGGCAAGGCTCTGCCGCTCTGAGGCCTCCAGGAGATGCAGCAGGCAGCTGAGATCCGGGGCATCCACCTCGGCCAGGCCCTGCAGGTCCCGTGCAGCTGCTGGCACGTCTCCCTTCTTGAGCCAGAGCAGGCCCAGCCGGGCCCGGGCTGCCTCTGACGTTGGGGCAGGGTGCAGGGCTTTTTCCAGGTGGGTGCCAGCCTCCTCATAGCTGCCTGTCAGGGATTCAGGAGGGACAGTCAGTGTGTGGGTGGGGCAGAGGTGCAAGAGAGCTCAGACTTGCTGGCTGCTCCTTCCCTGCCCTATACTGGCTTTCGGGGAGGTGATGATGGCTCAGCCCCAGGAAGAAGGAGCTGGGAGCAGAGGTGCACCGTGATTCCAGGCAGGTCACAGGGACTCACCTCTGACCCCACTCCACGATGCTGAGCCCCCTCACCATGGACACTACAAGGGGCTGCTTTCTCTCCCGAGCAACTAGAGGCAAATTCTGGGCCTGCTGGAGCAGACTAGCACGCAGGGAGCAGCCCTGGGGTCCCTGAAGCCCTTGGTGGGCAAATGCAGACTGCAGAGAGAGCTTGCCTTGGGAATTAGCGGTGAAATGGTTTCCACATCACCAGGGGGATGTGGAAATCTGCAGGAAAGGCCTGCATGTTGGCACATAGGGCTTATGACAGTTCCTCCTGGAACAGGGCCTGGCATCCCATGGGTGCCTGATAAACAACAGCTGGAGGTGCGTGAATCAATGAGGGGGCCGAGAGTCCGAGACCTTTTATGGACCAAGATCATGCCTCGGTTTCTCCTCCACTGCAAGCAAAGAGCCAGCCGGGTAAAGAGAGGAGAGGCTTTTGAACACCAGGCCTCACACAGGGAGCAGGGCCAGAGGCCAGGGGATTTGGGGTGGAAGGGACCTTGGAAGCTATTGTGGTCCACGTCTCTTTCTTCCATTTTCTAGAAAAGGATACAGAGGTCAGAGGAGCAGGGACAGAAGCCCAGACCCTGTGTTTCCCACCTTGGGGCTGCCACATACCCCGTGCCATGAGAATGTCCACCAGGAGGAGGTGCCAGTCCAGTTGCCCTGCATCGATTTTGATCAGCGCCTGCCCCACAGCAAGGAGGCCTTGGGTGTCCTCGTCCTCGAGAGGGGCCCCAGTGTCCAGCAGCTGGCTCAGAAGGGCCCGGCAGCGGGAGTAGAGGCCCTGTGTGATGAGAGCCTGGGCTTCCGGCTTCAGAGAGCGGAGCTCAGGGACCACGGTCCCGGGGCCGAGCTTCAGAGCAGAGAGGATGTCGTCTACGGCTTCCTGCAAGGTGGGAGGGTGGGCGGGTGCAGAGTTGTCCTAGGTGGAGAGACTGGGTGGAGGGTCAGAGTAGGAGGGCTGGCTCTGTCTTTTTCATTCCCTGATCTTCTCCTTGGGATCCTAGAGGGTCTGAACATCCAGCTTCCTGCCTCTTCCCGCTTTCCTGTGGCTGCAGCCTCCTACCATCCCTCCTGATTCTGGTTAGCATTTGAAAGGACCCAGCTCGCTGACCTTGACCCTGAAAGTTTTCAGGCCCAGAACCCCTTTTCTGAGGCCAAATGCTGCTAATTTCCATCTCCTGATTAGCCTGCGGTCTGCGAGCCCTCCCTGGGTCCCTCGATCTCCCAGCTTGTAGCTGGCTCCCTCCACGCCTGTCCCTCCCCACAGAGGCATCTGTCACCTCCCAGCGGGGGATGCTGGATCTCTGTGGGTATCCGGGTGCTCCTCCCAGTGCGTGTGGCCTTGGGGACGCCGCAAGTGTAGAAAGCCCAGTTACTGCCGTCCCACAACTCCCAGGAGCGGTGGAAGGAGGGTGCCCAGCCCATCTGGTGCACAACACAAGGCAGGACACGGGGTGGCAGCCAGTTGGGGCAGAGGTCAGAGGTCTGCCAAGGGAGAAATCAGGGTGGAGCCGGCCAAGGCACACCCTGAGGGAGAGACTGCAGGGTGCAGAAGTGGACTTGGGCTGGTGCCTGAGGCTGGTGGGCACGTGGGTAGGAGAGCCCAGCACTGGGCATGCCATCTGGAGGCGGGGAGGGAGAAGAGGTTTGCAGAGGCCCTGACCACACACGGGAAGCCAGGGCAGAGGCTGGGCCTGTTCAGGGGAGTGCTGGTGATCAGTGGATTGATCAGGATAAGTCATTTGCATCTGACCTTTGACCTGGCCATCAGCAGGGGACCACTAGAGCCTCTTCAAGGCTGTCCTCCTTCTATTGGTTCTCCAGGTGTCCTATTTGCTTGTTTGTTTGTTTCTTTCTTTCTTGTTTTTTTTTATTTCTTATTTGTATTTTGAGATGGAGTCTCGCTGTGTCACCCAGGCTGGAGTGCAGTGGTGCAATCTTGGCTCACTGCAACCTCCACCTCCCAGGTTCAAGCAATTCTCCTGCCTCAGCCTCCTGAGTAGCTGGGATTACAGGTGTACCACCACCATGCCCAGCTAATTTTTGTGTTTTTAATAGAGATGGGGTTTCACCATGTTGTCCAGGCTGGTCTCAAACTCCTGATCTCAAGTGATCCACCTGCCTCGGCCTCCCAAAGTGCTGGGATTATAGGTGTGAGCCACTGCACCTGGCCTTAACTATGCCTCTGTATATTATCTTTCTAGCAATTGCCTTGCAAATTACAATACGTAGCCTTACAGCTATGAACAAGCCCCCAGCTCCCAGGTGAGCACCCAACCACAGTCTATGTACAGTTGATATGGTGCCACTTTACCTAAAATGTGAGATCCCCACAGCAGTAACTTCCATTATCCCACAGTTTGTGTTATTGTTGTCATACACTGAGCAATACATTTCCTCATATAGTACATTATTTCAAGTCAATTAATTATATGTATATTTTGAGACAGGGTCTCTCTCTGTTGCCCAGGCTGGAGTGCAGTGGTGTGATCTTGGTTCACTGCAACCTTGAACTCCTGGGCTTAAGTGATCCTCCCACTTCTGCCTCCTGAGTAGCTGGGACCACAGGTGCATGCCACCACACCCAGCTAATTTTAAAAACTTTTTGTAGAAATGGGGTCTTGATATATTGCCTAGGCTGGTATCGAACTCCTGGTCTCAAGCAATCCTCCCACCTTGGCCTCCCAAAGTGCTGGGATTACAGGTGTGAGCCACCACACCAAGCCTATTTTTAATTTAGATAGCTTTGTTCAAAGCAATTAAAAGAAGAAATAAATACATCCTTTTGTATTTGCAAATGCTTTTCACTTCTTCCAGCAGAGAATTTCTATCAGGCATCCGTTCTCTTCAATTTCACCACCTTCCCTCAGGAACTGCTGTGGTACCGTTCAATGATGACGGATCTCTCAGCTTCCATTTGTGTAACGGGTCTTTAATTTCACCCTCGTTTCTGAAGGACATTTTAACAATATGGGTAATTCTGGGTTGGTACTTTTTTCTTTTAGTGCCTTAAAGGTGCTGTCCCACTGTCTTTTGGATTCCATTGTTTCCGGGACAAATCTGCTGTCGCTCACATTGTTGTATGTCATTTACTCACTCCTCTGGTTGCTTTTAAGATGTTCTCTTTATCTTTTGTTTTCAGGAACTTGACCAAGATGTGCCTTCTTAGGGGTGGTTCTCTTTGTGCTTTTCCTCTCGGGATTTGTTGAGCATCTTGGGAATTTTTCTGCTGTTATTTCTTCAAGTACCTGTGTATATTTGCCCCATTCGTTCTCCCTATCCTCTGGGAGTCCAATCACACGTATGCTAGACGGCCTGAAATTGTCCCACTGGTCACTGAAGTTTTCTTCATTTTTTTTTTTAATTTTTAAAAGTTTTTTAGAGGTCAGGTGCAGTGGCTCACACCTGTAATCCCAGCACACTGGGAGGCCGAGGCAGGCGGATCCAGAGGTCAGGAGATCGAGACCATCCTGGCCAAGATGGTGAAACCTCGTCTACTAAAAATACAATAAAAATACAAAAATTAGCTGGGCGTGGTGGCACGTGCCTGCCATCCCAGCTACTCAGGAGGCTGAGGCAGGAGAACTGGTTGATCCCAAGAGGCAGAGGTTGCGGTGAGCTGAGATCGTGCCACTGCACTCCAGCCTAGGCGACAGAGTGAGACTCCATCTCTTCTAAAAAAAAAAATTTCTTTTTTTTTTTTTTTTTGAGAGGGAGTCTCACTCTGTCACCCAGGCTGTTCTCAAACTCCTGGGCTCAAGTGATGCTGCCACTTCACCCTCCCAAAGTACTGGAATTACAGGTGTGAGCCATGATGCTCAGTTCAGCTCTCATCATTTGAAACGGAGTTTGTTTGTTTTTTTTTTTTTCCCCCTGCTGTTCCTTAGATTGGATAATTTTCTTTGGTCTATCCTTGAGTTCACTAGTCCTGCTTTGGCAGTTTCAGATCTGCTGATATGCCTCCCTAGTGAGTTTTTAATTCCAGATATTCTGCTTTTCAGCTCTAGGATCTCCACTTGATTATTACAGTTTTTTTTTTTTTTTTTTTTTTTTTTTTGCATTCCTCTACTACAATTCTCCATCAGCTCACTCATTATAGCAAACAGTTCTTTTACATGTTTATGTCACTGCTTTTAAAAGCCCCTGTGTGTAAATTCCAAACATCTAAGCCATCTCCAGGTCTGTTTCTATGAAGTGCTTCTTCTCTTATTATTGGTCCCATTTCCCTGGTTCTCTGCGTGCCTAGCAGTTCTTGGTTTTGTGCTGGGCTCTGTCTGGCATGTGGTAGACAGGGCTGTGGTGCTGTCCTGCAAGGGGGCTGATTTCACTCTGGTGGGCAGGTAGATTACTGGTGGATCTTTCTGGCCCTGACAGGCTTTATCTTGTACTTTGTTAGGGAAGGATTATTTTTTGAACTTAGTCCTAAAGTATAATCTTAATTTTAGGGTGTGACCTTTCTGGAGTCTCAACTGAGTGCCCAAGATGTTCAGAAAGCCTCTCTGCACTGGCTGGGTTAGAATTCCAGTGTCTCCCAGCCCTGCCTGACCCTGGTACCCCCATTCAGCTCTTGGCCCCACAACAGGTGGTCACTGCTGGGCAGTTGAGTCTTGCCCCTGCCTGTGCAGCCCAGGCGGCAGACAAGGACCTGTGAAGAATTCCATGGACACATAGATACCCCTTCCCCACACAGCCCCTCTCCTCCCCTCTCCTCCATTACCCTCGATGCAAATTCCAGCCACATAGCAGGCTGGGATGCCAATCTCTGTCCCCACAGCTCAGAAATCCACTGCCGCCCTCCATGGGCAGCAGCAGAAATGTCTCCCCAGGCAGGGAACCGGGGTGCGTGGTGCCTGCCTCCTGCGGCCTCCTGTCTCTCAGGGTCGCAGCTCTTTGCTGCCTGTTGTTTGGTGTCTGGAAACATTTGCTCATGGATTATATCCAGTTTATACGGCTGTCAAGAGCCTGGAATGGCACCCCACATCCCCAGGGGAGCGTCTTACAGCCTGGAACAGAACCCCACACCATCAGGGGAGCATTGTACAGGCTGGAATGGCATCCACACCCCCAGGTGAATGTGTGACAGCCTGAAACAGCATTCTCCAACCCCAGGTGAGGCTTTGACAACCTGGAATAGAACCCCACACCCGCAGGTGAACATCGGACAGCCTGGAACGGCACCGCACACTCCCAGGTGAGCATCTGACAGCCTGGAATGGCACCCACGCCCACAGGTGAGGGTGTGACAGACTGGAGCAGCATTCTCCAGCCCCAGGTGGCCTTGCAACGATCCAAAACAGAACCCCACACGCCCCGGTGAGCATCTGACAGCCTGGAATGGCACCACCACACTTAGGTGAGAATTTGATAGGCTGGATCGACCCTTGAACCTTCAGGTGAGCATCTGACAGGGTGGAACGGTACCCCACACCTCCAGGTAAGCACCTGAAAGCCTGGAACAGCAGATCACATGTTCAGGGGAACATTGTAAGCCTGGAATGGCACCGCAATCCCCAGGTGAGCATCTGACAGCCTGGAACAGCATCCCACATCGCCCAGCGAGAATCTGACAGCCTGGAGCAGCACCACCACCCCCAGGTGAGCATCTCACAGCCTGGAAGAGCACCCCACCTCAGGTGAGCATTTGACAGCATGGAACAGCAAGCACCCACAGCCCACAGGTGAGCAGCTGACAGCAGGAAAAGCACCCTCCTCCTCGGTGTGCATCAGACAGCCTGGAACGGCATCACCACCCGCAGGTGAGCAGCTGATACCTGGAACGGCACCCCACACTTCCAGGGGAACATCAGACAGCCTGGAACTGCACCCCCACCTTCGTGTGAGCATCTTACAGCCTGAAATGGCATCCATGCCCACGAGTGAGTGTGTAGCAGCCTGAAACAGCATTCTCCAACCTCAGGTGAGCTTGTGACAATCTGGAACAGGACCCAACAACCCCAGGTGAGCATCTCACCGTGTAAAACAGCACCCTCCATCCCCGGGGGATCATTTGACAGCCAAGAATGGCACCCCACACATCCAGGTGAGCATCTGACAGCCTAGAATGGCACCAGCACACTTAGCTGAGAATCTGACAGCCTGGATCAGCACTTCAACCTTCAGGTGAGTGTCCGAGAGCCTGGAACAGCACCCACACCCCCAGGTGAGCACCTGACAGCAGGAAAAGCACCCTCCTGCCTGGTGTGCATCAGACAGCCTGGAACGGCATCACCACCCGCAGGTGAGCAGCTGATACCTGGAACGCACCCCACACTTCCAGGTGAGTATGTGACAGCTTGGACCATCACCCTGCACCCCAGGAGAGGATCTGACAGCCTGGGAAGGCACTCCCACACCCAGGTGAGCATCTGAAACCCTACAGCATCACCCCCCACCAACCTTCAGGTGATTATCTCACAGCCCAGAGCAGCACCTGCCACCCCCAGATGAACATCTCACAGCCGGAAAAATACCAGGTGACCATAAGACAGCCTGGAATGGTACCACCACTTAGGTGAGCCTCTGACGGACTCAAACAACAGCCCACACCTTCAGTGAGCAGCTGAGAACCTCAATCAGCACCTTACACTCAGGTGAGCATCGGAAAGCCTGAAGCGGCACCCCCCCCACCTCTAAGTGAGCATCTGATGGCCTGGAACAGCGCCCACACCCCCAGCTGAGCATCTGACCGCATGGAATGGCATCCTCACCTCCAGGGAGCATCCGACAGCCTGGAACAGTATTCTCCAGCCCCAGGTGAGTGTCTGACAACCTGGAACAGAACCCCACTCTTTCAGGTGAGGATCCAACAGCATAAAACAGCACCCTCCACCCCCAGGTGAGGATCCGACAGCATAAAACAGCACCCTCCACCCCCAGGTGAGCATCTGACAGCCGGAACAGCATCCACAGCCCCAGGTGAGCATCTGGCACCCTGAAAGGGCAGCACACACCCCCAGGTGAGCACCAGACAGCATTGAATGGCTCCCCACACCGCAAAATGAGCCTCTGATGGCCTGGAACAGAACCCCACGTCCCCATGTGAGCATCTGACAGCATGGGACAGCACCCCACACCCCCAGGTGAGTATCTGAATGCCTGGAGCGGCACCCACGCCCCCAGGTGAGCTTCCGTAAACCGGAAACAGCACCCTGCACGCGCAGGGGAGCATCTGACAGCCTGGAACGGCTCCCCTACACCCAGGTGTGCATCTGTCAGCCTGAAACAGCACCCTCCACCACCAGATGAGCATCTGACAACTGGAAACTGCACCACACACCCCAAGGTGGGCATCCGATGGCATGGGACAGCACCCCCACCCACAGGTGATCTGACTGCCTGGAATAGCACTTCCCCTCAGGTGAGCATCTGACAGCCTGAAACAAACCCACCGTGAGCCTCTGACAGCACAAAACAGCACCCCAGAGCCCCAGGTGATCACTGGACAGCCAGGAACAACAATCCGCATCCCCAGGTAAGCGTCTGACAGCCTAGAATGGCACCTGCACACTTAGGTGAGAATCTGAAAGCCTGATCGACGTTCGAACCTTCGGGTGAGCGTCTGACAGCCTACAGCAGCAGTGACCGCACCCAGGTGAGGATGCTCCCCTGAGGCTGGGCGTCCCATTCCAGGCTGTCAGATCCTCCCCTGGGGATGGAAGGTGCATTTTAGAGGCTTTTGGATGTTCACATGGGGATGAAGGATGTGTTCCAGGTTATCAGATGCTCACCTGGGAACGCATAGAACAGAACCCCACAACTTCACATAAGAATCTGACAGGTGGGAAAGAGCTCCCTGCCCTCAGGTGAGCACTTGACAGCCTGGAACAGCACCCCACAACTGCAGGTGAGCATCTGACAGCCTGGAACAGCACCCCACAACTGCAGGTGAGTACCTGACAGCCTGGAACAGCACCCCACAACTGCAGGTGAGCATCTGACAGCCTGGAACAGCACCCCACAACTGCAGTGAGCCACCTGAACAGCACCCACTGCAGGTGACAGCTGGAACAGCACCACAACTGCCACAGGTGAGCATCTGACAGCCTGGAACAGCACCCCACAACTGCAGGTGAGCATCTGACAGCCTGGAACAGCACCCCACAACTGCAGGTGAGCCTGACAGCCTGGACAGCACCACAACTGCAGGTGAGCATCTGACAGCCTGGAACAGCACCCCACAACTGCAGGTGAGCATCTGACAGCCTGGAACAGCACCCCACAACTGCAGGTGAGCATCTGACAGCCTGGAACAGCACCCCACAACTGCAGGTGAGCATCTGACAGCCTGGAACAGCACCCCACAACTGCAGGTGAGCATCTGACAGCCTGGACAGCACCCCACAACTGCAGGTGAGCATCTGACAGCCTGGAACAGACCCCACAACTGCAGGTGAGCATCTGACAGCCTGGAACAGCACCCCACAACTGCAGGTGAGCATCTGACAGCCTGGAACAGACCCCACAACTGCAGGTGAGCATCTGACAGCCTGGAACAGCACCCCACAACTGCAGGTGAGCATCTGACAGCCTGGAACAGCACCCCACAACTGCAGTGAGCATCTGACAGCCTGGAACAGCACCCCACAACTGCAGGTGAGCATCTGACAGCTGGAACAGCACCCCACAACTGCAGTGAGCCTGACAGCCTGGAACAGCACCCCACAACTGCAGGTGAGCATCTGACAGCCTGGAACAGCACCCCACAACTGCAGGTGAGCATCTGACAGCCTGGAACAGCACCCCACAACTGCAGGTGAGCATCTGACACCTGGAACAGCACCCCACAACTGCAGGTGAGCATCTGACAGCCTGGAACAGCACCCCCAACTGCAGGTGAGCATCTGACAGCCTGGAACAGCACCCCACAACTGCAGGTGAGCATCTGACAGCCTGGAACAGCACCCCACAACTGCAGGTGAGCATCTGACAGCCTGGAACAGTACTGCACAACTGCAGGTGAGCATCTGACAGCCTGGAACAGCACCCCACAACTGCAGGTGAGCATCTGGAACAGCCCCCACCTGAGCACTGACAGCCGCACCCCCACTGCAGGTGAGCCTGACAGCCTGGAACAGCACCCCACAACTGCAGGTGAGCATCTGACAGCCTGGAACAGACTCACAACTGCAGGTGAGCATCTGACAGCCTGGGACAGCACCCCACAACTGCAGGTGAGCATCTGACAGCCTGGAACAGCACCCCACAACTGCAGGTGAGCATCTGACAGCCTGGGACAGCACCCCACACTGCAGGTGAGCATCTGATAGCCTGGATAGGCACTCCACACAGCCAGGTGAGCAGCTAAAAGCCTGGAATGGAACCCCCACGTGCAGGTGAGCATCTGACAGCCTGGAACAGCACCCTAAAACTTTGGGTGAGGATCTGATAGCCTGGAAGAGCAGTGCCTACCCACAGTTAGCATCTGACAGCACACAGCAGCACCCCCAATCCCAAGGTGACCATCTGGCAGTGTGAAACAGCACCCCACACCCCCAGATGAGCATCTGAAAGCCTAAAACAAGCCCCTGCCTGAGATGAGCATCTGACAGCCTTGAACTCCAGGCCCACCGCCAGGTGAGCATATGACAGCCTGGAACAGCACCATACAACCCCAGGTAAGATTCCAGCAGCATGGAGCAAGACCACTGCCCCCAGGTGAGCATCTGACAGCCTGGGAAAGCACCCTGCTTCCAGGTGAACATCTGATAGCCTGGAACAGAACCACAGTTCTCTAAGTAAGCATCTGACAGCATAGAACAGCACCCTCACCCCCAGGGGAGCATCTGACAACCTAGAACAGCACCCTCACCCCAAAGTGGGCATCTGGCAGCGTAAAACAGCACCTCTACTGGCAGATGAGCATCTGACAGCCTGGAGCAGCACCCCACACCCCCAGGGGAGCATCTGACAGCTGGGAGCAGCACCTCACACCCCCAGGGGAGCATCTGACAGCCTGGAGCAGCACCCCACACCCCCAGGGGAGCATCTGACAGCCGGGAGCAGCACCTCACACCCCCAGGGGAGCATCTGACAGCCAGGAGCAGCACCTCACACCCCCAGGGGAGCATCTGACAGCCGGGAGCAGCACCTTACACCCCCAGGGGAGCATCTGACAGCCAGGAGCAGCACCCCACACCCCCAGGGGAGCATCCGACAGCGTGGACAAGTCCTGCCTCAGGTTAGTGTCTGATTCTGAATGTTGCTTCCTTTCCACCAGGTGAGCATCTGACAGCCTGGAGCAGCACCCCACACCCCCAGGGGAGCATCCGACAGCTTGGAGCAGCACCCCACACCCCCAGGGGAGCATCTGACAGCTGGGAGCAGCACCCCACACCCCCAGGGGAGCATCCGACAGCGTGGACAAGTCCTGCCTCCAGGTTAGTGTCTGAATTCCTGGAATGTGTGCTGTCCTTTTCCACCAGGTGAGCATCTGACAGCCTGGAGCAGCACCCCACACCCCCGGGGAGCATCTGACAGCCTGGAAGAAGCACCCCGCATGTTCCCCGGGGTGAAACCAAGGCTCAGAGACAGGACAGGGTTGTTGGCCAAGAGGAGGGGCCTGCTGCTGAGCCCCAGCGCTGACTCAGAGCTCACAGCCTCAAGCCTGTGCCATGTCCTCCTCTCAGGGTGAAGAGGCAGAGGGCATGGGGGAGGCGCAGCATCGGCCCACCTCCTGGATGCGCAAGTTCACAGGCATGATGGGGCGAGGGGCTCCTGCTCCTACCATCACTCCCACACGCTAGCCCTCCGACATCCTGGCTGACTTTCCCTGCCTCTGGCCCTGTGGCCCTGGACAGAGCGGGAGGAAGGGACAGGATCCCATGGTACCCCTTGGAGGAGGTTCCAGCACCTACCTGTAGGTAGGTTTCCAAGGATCCCTTGTAGCCACATCCAGCTGTTAAATGGGCGTGTCCCTGCCAGCCACAGATGTCTGTCCAGTGCAGGAAAGGGCAGGCAGAGAGCTGGCTCCCAGCCCCGAATGCATGTCTCCCTCCCTGGGGCCCAGCCTGGCATGGAAGTCAGGCCTGCCAGTGGGCTTGGGGGAAACTTGGTGCCCTGGGCTGGCAGCCTGCCCTGCAGCAGCAAGCATGGCCTCTGGAGCTGTCGTCCTCCTGGCCTCCAGAGTTGCTTTTCCTTGCTTCCTGGAACTCCAGCCCTTAAGAAAATCAGAAACCCTGGGAGGCACATTGCCTCTGTGCTGTGCTTTCACCCAGCGAAGCATCAGGGCAGACAGCCAATTTCAACACTGCTCTTGGCTGGAAAGTGCCCTCGTTTCTGGCAGCCTCCAGCGAGAAAGTACAGGGCCCCGGAGCTGTGGCTGCCTCAGGGCAGGTCTCCCTTGTGACAGCCTCTTGTCATGGGCCTGGGAGTGGAACCCTCCCGCCCCTGCCCTGCATCCTGTTGAGTCGACAGCTCAGGCTGGTACCCAAGACCGTGGCCAGCAGATCACAGGGGATGTCCCTTTTGTCCTGGCTGTTTATAGGCTGGAGGAACCACTGTTCAGCCGCATCTCTCCCGCCCCACCTGCATTCACTCAAGGTTGATGGGAGCACTGTGGGGGGAGACAGGCAGGGGAGGGGCCAGGCAGCACCTGGCACATCCCCAGGGTGCCTCCTCTGATCCCCAGGAGGGGCAGCACCCACCCTCCTCTTTTTCCAATTTGTTTTTATTGTGGTTAAATATACATAACATTAACTTTTACTCTCTTAATTATCTTTATGTGTACAGTGTGGTGGCATTAAATACATTCCTCATGTTGTGTGGCCGTCACCACTATCCCTTTCCAGAACTAGCTCATCTTCCCAAACTGAAACTCTGTCCCCGTTAAATCTGCTCCATTCCCCTCCCCCAATCCCAAGCACCCACCATTCTGGTTTCTGTCTCTATGATTCAATGACTCTAGGAACCTCATATAAGGAAATCACACAGTGTTTGTCCCTTTGTGGTGGCTGCTTATTTCACTGAGCACAATGTCCTCGAGGTTCATCCATGTTGTAGTGTGTACCGGGATTCCCTTCCTTTTTAAGGCTGAATAATTCCCCATTGTATGGATAGAACATGTTTGGCTTATCCACCCATCCATCGGTGGACACTTGGTGCCTTCCACATCCAAGCTCTTGTGAACAATGATGCCATCTATGAACATGGTGTACAAATGTCTCTAAAAGACCCTGCCTCCATTTCTTTTGGATGTAGACCCAGATGTGGAATTGCTTGATCATATGGTAGGTCTATTTTTTTTTTTTTTGGAGCTGGAGTCTTGCTTTGTCACCCAGGCTGGAATACAGTGGTGTGATCTTGGCTCACCGCAACTTCTGCCTCCTGGGTTCAAGCAATTCTCCTGCCTCAGCCTCCCGAGTAGCTGGAACAACAGGCACGCGCCACCACACACCTGGCTAATTTTTGTATTTTTATTAGAGAAGGGGTTTCACTGTGTTAGCCAGGACGGTCTTGATCTCCTGACCTTGTGATCTGCCTGCCTTGGCCTCCCAAAGTGCTGGGATGACAGGTGTGAGCCACCACACCCAGCTGGTAGTTCTGTTTTTAGCTTTTTGGGAAATGGCAATCCTGTTTTCCATAGCTGCTGCACCATTTTACCTTCCCACCAACAGTGCAGAAAGTTCCAGTTTCTTCACATCCTCACCAGTGCTTGTTATTTTCTTTTTAAAAACTTCGTAGTAGCCATCCTGATAGGCGTGAGGCATATCTCGTTGTTTTGATTTGTGCTTCCCTGATGATTGGTGATGTCCAGCATCTTTTCATGTGCTTATTGTCCATTTGTATATCTTTTTCTGGGAAATGTCTGTTTAAGTCCTTTGCTCATTTCTGAATTGGGTTTTTGTCTTTATTATTGTTGAGTTTTAGGACTTCTCTGTGTATTCTGGATATTCCTTATCAGATATATGACTTTCAAATATTGTGGTTTTCTTCCATCCTGTCAGTGGCCTTTTTACTCTGTTATAATAGTGTCCTTTGGTGTACAAAAAAATTAATTTTCATGAAATCCAACTTTATTTTTTCTTTTGCTGCCTGTGCCTTTGGTGTTGTAGCCCAGAAGTCATCGCCAAATCCAATGTTGTGAAGCCTCTGCCTGTGCTTACTTCTAATAATTTTATAGTTTTAGGTCTTTGATCCATTTTGAATTAATTTTTGTATGTGGTGGTAGGAAAGAGTCCAACTTCATTCTTTTGCATAGTTTTCCCTGCAACATTTGTTGAAAAGACTGTCCCTTCCCCATTGAATGGTCTTGGTCAAATCATTTGACCGTATATGGGAGGGTTCATTTCTCGACTCTCTATTCTGTTCCATTGGTCTCTGTGTCTGTTTTTGTGCCAGTACCACACTGTTTTGATCACTGTAGCTTTGTAGTAAGTTTTGAAATCAGAAAGTGTGAGTCCTCCAGCTTGTTGGTTCTTTTTCAGGATTGTTTCGGCTGTTTGGAGTCCCCTGAGATTCCATAGGAATTTTAGAATTTATCTTTTCTACTTCTGTAAAAAGCATTATTGAGATTTTGACAGATATTGCATTGAATCTGTAGATCACTTTGGGTAATACTGACGTCTTACCAACATGAAGTCTTCTAATACATGAACGTGGAATGTGTTTCCTTTGTTTATGTCTTCTTTAATTTATTTCAGCAATGTTTTGTAGTTTTCATTGCACAAATCTTTCACCTCATTGGTTAATTCCTAAGTATTTTATTCTTTTTAATGCTATTGTAGATGGAATTATAGCTGACTCTTGAACATGGGTTAAAACTATGTGGGTCCACTTATATGTGAATTTTTTTCAATAAATACAGTCAGCCTTTCATATTGGTGGGTTCTGAATCCACAGTCAAATGCAGATCAATTCTTGCGATGTGAAACCCGCATATACGGAGGGCCAACTTTTCATATCTAGGGGTTGGAGTTTCCACAGGGCTGACTGTAGGACTTCAGTATGTGAGGATTTCGGTATCTGAGGGTTGTCCTGGAACCAATCCCATGTGGATACCAAGTGGTGACTGTATTTTCTTATTTCCCTTTTTAGATTATTCATTATTAATGTATAAAAAAGGAACTGATTTTTGTGTTGCCTTCATATCCTGCTACTTTGCTGAATTCATTTATTGGTTCTCACAGGTTTGTGTGTGTGTGTGTGTGTGTGTGTGTGTGTAATCTTTAGGGATTTCTACATATAAGATCTGAGAACAGAGATAATTTTATTTCTTTCTTTCAAATTTGGATGCTTGGTAATTTTTTCTTGCCTAATTATTGTGGCTATAACTTCCAGTGCAACGTTGAGTAGAAGTGCAAAAGTGATCATCTTTGCCTTGTTCCTGATCTTAGAGGAAAAGCTTTTCTTTTTCATCATTGAATATGATATTTGCTGTGGGTTTTTCTTATATGGATTTTATATTGAGGCAGTTTCCTTCTCTTTCTAGTTTGTTGAGTGTTCTTATCATAAAAGGGTGTTGAATTTTGTCAAATGCTTTTCTGCATCAGTTGAGATGTTCATTTTTCCCCCTTCATTCTGTTAATGTGGTATATTACATTAATTGACATTTGTATGTTGAACCATTCTTGCATTCTAGCAACAAATCCCACTTGGTTATGTGTGTCATCCTTTTAACAAATTGCTGAATTTGTTTTGTTAGTATTTTGTTGAGGATTTTTGCCTCAATATTCTTACAGGATAATGGTCTGTAGTTTTCCCGTAGTGTCTTTGGCTATGGTATCAGGGTAATGCCGGCCTCATAGACTGAGTGAGGAAGTGTTCCTTCCTCTTTTATTTTTTGGAAAACTTTGAGGATTGGTGTTAGTTCTTTAAATGTTTGGTAGAATTCACCAGTGAAGCCATCAGGTCCTGGCCTTTTCTTTGTTGGGAGATTTTTGAGTACTGACTCAATCTTTTCACTAGTTATAGGTCTATTCAGATCTTCTGTTTCTTCATGATTTAGTCTTGGTGGGTTTTGTGTTTCTAGGGATTTATCCATTTCATCTAGATTAGCTGATTTATTGGCTTGCAATTGTTCCTATTACTATCTTATAATTCTTTTTATTTCTGTAGAATTGGTAATAATAACCTCATTTTCATTTCTGATTGTCATAATTTGAGTTTTCTCTTTCTTAGTCCACCTGGCAAAAAGTTGGTCAAATTTTATCTTTTCAAGGAACAAACTTTTGTTTTCATTGATTTTCTCTATTCTCGATCCTCTGTTTTGATCTCTGCTGTAATCTCTCTCTCTTTCTTTTTCTTTCTGTTCATGTGTTCTTTTTCTAGTTTCTTAAGTTGTAAAGTTAGATTGTCGATTTGAGATCTTTCTTGTTTTTTACTGGAAGCATTTACAGCTATACATTTCCCCCTCAGCACTGCTTTCCCTGTGTCTCATAATTTGGGGTGTGTGGTTTTCATTTTCACTTGTCTCTAAGCATTGTCTAACTTCTCATGTGATTTCTTCTGTGATCCATTGGTTGTTTAGCCCCTCCTCCTTTTACAGAGGAGGAAACTGAGGCCTGGGGAGGTGAAATGATTTGGCTGAGGTTGCTTAGCTGGACCCAACTCTTTCAGGCTCCAGGGACAGAGCTTAGGGCAGCAGGCCTGGGCTGAGCACACAGGTCCAGTGTGAGTCCCTCAGAGTCAGACCACACAGAATGCAGTGCAGTTGCAAGCAAAGAATGCTCATAATCAAACAGAACAGAAACCATCTTCCAGCACACAGGCCTCCCCCAGCCGAACGGGATCTGTCTTCTTGCCATTGCCCCTCTCTCAACTTTTATTTTACATTGGAGCAGTTTCTGCAGAAGAAAGTCTTAAATGCATAGAGACCAAACTTAAAGAGCAAGTAAACGAAGCTCAGATCAGGGTCCAGGGGCTGAATCCCCACACCTGTCTGTGGCAGACATGGCTGACCGAGGCCAGCACTTACTCCCTCTGCGTATGTCCTCCAAAACCCTCTGAACACCGGGGGCCAGGCAGCCCCACCAATGCAGCCGCGGGAACACCTCCTGGCCAACAGCCCCAGAGGGACCCCTGCATGCACTGAGCATTATTTAAGCTGGGGAGGACCCGTAGTACCTCTGAAGGCTTGCACGTCTATCCATGCAGACAGGCTGGGAGGACGAAAGGGCAGGACTCCCAGAAACTGGGTTTGTGGGGACCAGGCTCCCATGAGCCGCAGTACAGGTGGGGATGGGAACATAGGTTTTGATGGGCATCTTGCTGCTCAGGACGGCCTCCTGGCTCCCTCTCTCCTTGGGGTAGAGGCAACTCCCTGGGTCCCCCACCCGTTTGCCCAGGCCCAGGTGGGGAGTGGGGTGGCACCTGCAGCTGGTCTAGGGCCAGGTGCACCAATGCCCGTCCACACAGTGCCTGCACGTTCTCCGGCTCAGCCCGCAGCACTGCGTTGAAGTCGAACATGGCCGTCTTCTTCTGGCCCAGGAACCCATAGCAGCGGGCTCGGGCAAGGAGGGATTCACTTGCCTGGCTTCCTGCAGGAAGATGGCATGGGGTTGGGATGAGCCTGTGCTGGGTCCCTCCCCCAGTGTCCCTCCTGCCCAGGTCGGGGAGGGCAGAGGGTGCATGAGCTTCAGGGCTCACCACTGGGCACTGAGACACATAGAGACAGTCACGGCGGACCTGGGGGCCTTGGCTTCGGGGCAAGAGGAGCCGTGCCAGGACTGGAGACAGTTGGGGGTCTGCCAAGGGAAGGGGCACTGCAGCTGCCTCTGAGGCCAGGCAAGGGCAGGGGGTCAGGGTCCTGGGGCGGGACCTGG